ATGAAGTGTTTTCAATAATGTTCGATCTGTCTAGCTTATCGGGAGTTACAGTAATGGAAGTTGACCGAAATGACGTGTTAAGGCCATGAAAAGGAAATTTTACTTACTTTCCCTTTAGTGGTTCCAAAATTAATTTGGACGTGGTTGTTTCAGTAAAAACACATATCTTCCCATACGAATAGGTTTGTATTCGCTTCTTTATTCCTTTTTATCAACATGTTTACGTTATTGAAAAGAAAACGAGGAATGAATTGAACAGACATATCCGTAAGGTCTGGAAAACCTCTGCCAAACTAAAGAATATTTGGCCTTTCTGTGAGCCATGTGGTTTTTAAGTATGCTAATGTATGGCCTATAGAATGAGTACAAAGACCTTAGGAATAAGTCGCGCAAGCGCAAGAAAAAGGGATGACTTGGGTGGGACGCGTTACCGCATGCTGTCACCAACGTGTGAAAATCGCCTCCCCAAAAACATTCTAAAAACAACTTCGAGGGCTACAGAAATCAAGAGAATGCCGTTCCAATTAATTCCCTACGTTGCCATGTATGCTCCCGAATGGATGTCAAACCTGAATTTGTACTTATTCAAACTTGAAATTATAAACAACAACACAGTGGATAAGGAAGTTTGCTTTAATCGGTTTTGTGTTCTAGTACAAATCCGCGCCCCGGTGCACGAAACGCGATTACGGTAACACAAATTCCCTTGACTGTCCAAACCGTCTTGTTAAAAACATGCATAGCACAAGGTAATTTTAGTAATCGTTCCAATAAAAAAGTTAATTAGTCTGATATCAAAATAAGCAAAAATTACGACAAGCGATTGATACCTTCAAAGCAGCGGTCGCAAAGGCCGAGAACCGGAGACGGGTTCACGAGTGGGACAAGTTATTGGCGGAAGGGCATCGCCATTTTGTGGAAAGAAGGCGTGGAGAAAAAACCTAATGATTGCCTTTTGTTGCCCTTCCAGCAATGACCTCACCTCCGCTCCTAAGCCATCGTGACTGCTGCCCTTGTAAAGAATCGAAGAAAGCTGAGTAAAGTAAAGCTTTTTTGTGAAATTCACTTTGTTGTGTTTTATTGGGTTGGAGCATTTATATCGTAGCGCTCTTCATCAAAAACGTTTAAAGCAAAACCCAGAAGCAAAGCCAAGCATGAAACCAATCAGAGATGTTCTCTCGTCATTATTTACGACTTTGATCTCATTCCACAAAAAATCACCCAGATTTAAAAAAGGGCGCTGAGCCCGTTCTTCAAAGTCCTCATATTCTCAATATGTACGACGTGAATATGATTTGAAATTGAGGTCGATTGGAGTAAGTTTCGATGATGACGATAGATCCGAAAAACTCCTATTTTGGCAGCTTTTTTATATAGATTTTCGCCCACCTTGATTTTCCAACTTCTAAGCACCATATCTGAGTACACTTACAATATAGAAGAAAATGACAAACAAGGTTGTAGAGCGGAAGAAGTACTTTCAAATGATATATGTGATTTCCTGGGTAATACTTGTATTCACTGAATTTGTAGCTCGAACGAAAGCGATACTTTGCTACAACCCAATATAAGACTTCGAAAAGAATGAACCTTGAGTATGAACAGTTTGAAAAAAAATCATACCGAACAAGCACTCTGTCAATTCGTAGATAAAACCGCATCAAAGCGAAGAAGAAACCCGGCATAACACGAAGTCTTACTGACAGCTAAAAATTTCCGGATCACTTAAAAAGGTATGCTTTCGTAAAACATGCAGATTTGAAACGCTCCTATCATCACTGCGGGAGTCCACGAAGAACTATTCAGAACATTCACCAATTTTTGTACTTCAGGGGCCATTTCGGTGGGGATTTTAGGCATAGGTCGGAGCTCGAGTGAAAATAGTTTTCTGCGAAAAATATCTCTGTGTCAAAGGATGCACCTAGCCCATTAGCTACCACGCTCTGGAAAACCAAACCATCGGGATTAGTGAGTAGGAGTAGAAAAAGATCAGTGACAATTACGTTCTATGATCCTAAAGCGAGAGATTACGATAAAGTGTGTGTGCAGCGTGGAAGTACATGCACCAGTGGAAGCAGTAGTCAGGGGCCAAGGAACGAAATGTTGGCGTTTTTGTGGCCAAAGGTGCGCTAGTTGCAGCGTACTGGGCTTGCCATTCCTTTCTGAGCTCCGCCACGGCCTGTGCTCCGCCCCCAGCAGCAGCGTCCTTCGATTATCATTTTGATGAGGTATTCCGCTTTGAGTGCGTATCCTATAACTTTCCCATGGAATGCGTTACCAATCAAAGCATGGCCTTTGCTGGTATGATGGTGGCTATCGGTTTACATGTGC